TTGAGCATATAACTTCTCCAAATCCCATCTGGGTCTGCGCTTTCGAAATCCTATAATTTTCTTCAACCTGGTTCGGAACTTGGCAACCAGCAAGTTGTGGTCAGAGTCAATGTCTGCCCCAGGAAGCGTCTTCACATCCTTCACACTGTTTCTGAATCGATGTTTCACAAGGATGTAGTCCAGCTGATGCCTCTTCCAATCCCCAGGTGCCTTCCATGTGTAAATTCTTCTCTTTGGCTTCTTGAACCAAGTGTTGGTAACAATCAATCCATTTCGTTCACAAAAGTCAATAAGCATTTGACCTCTGTGATTCCGTCTTCCTAGTCCATGTGATCCAACAATATTCTGATATGGTTCATCTCCAACAATGCTGTTCCAGTCTCCCAATATGATGCTGTTTGTGTCTCCTCTTCCATCTTCCTGAAGAATTTCTTCAATTGTGTCATACACTTTTTCCACTTCATCATCTTCATACTCTGATGTTGGCATGTACACTTGTATAATCAGTATATCTACCGGTTCCGCCTTTAACTTCAGAGCAATAATTCTGTCATTACAAGCAATCTTCTTAACAACACTCCTCACTACACTTTTATGCACCACTATTGCCACACCTCTTTCAGCCCGTTCACCTCCGGAATAATACACTGTATAATCACCGCTTCTTATTTCACCTTGTCCTTTCCACCGCACTTCGCTGACACCTAGCACAGACACTTCATTCTTCTGCATTTCCGTTTTCAAATTCTCCAATTTTCCTGCTTGATTCAAGGTCCTGACATTCCATGTTCCAATCTTGTATCCATGCTGTTTCTTCTGATCTTCGCACTTTTTCTTGTTGTAACGCCTGCATGACATTTCCTCTAGAAACACTCCCCCCCGGAGATCCGATTGGGGGAGTAGTTTACCTCCGGATTGTTTTGCCTCCAGAGGAAACATCTCGCATATATGGTATCTCTGTTTTTGGAAAGAGACTATCCAGGAAAAGTGATAATGAGGTAGTTTTTCCATTTGCTTTCCACATCGCAGTACAGCAGCCGTTCAAGTAGAGTGGTAATTAATAGTCGAGATGTTAAGTTTCAGGAACACATATTGCCATACCTGGAAAGAGAGATGCGGAAGGCGATATCATCAAGTGAGGAAACGACCCTAATACAAATCAGAGAAACACAGGATGAACAGGGACTTCTAATTGGAGAGAACAGCTTAAATTGGGATGAAATAACTTACACTGGGGAAAATATAGTTCAAGGAGAGGTACCGGACCAAAAGGAAGAGAAGGCTCAGTCACCGTCTCAGCCAAGAAGGATGGAGAGGATTAAATACTCAAAGGCGAGGTGTGAGCTACCATGTTGCATGAAGGCCAAACTCCCAGCATTGGAGGAGGCTGAATTACCACTGGAAACTATTCCTATAGTTCATGAGGCACTCAGCGGTCCCAGGGCGGCAGAGTGGGAGGCCGCGATGGTACAGGAGCTGGAAACGATGAGGAACCAGGGGACATGGGAATTAATTAAGAAACCAGAGAACTGTAATGTCATAGGATGCAAGTGGGTATTTACAGTCAAAACTATCACTGGGAGGATTGTTAGATATAAAGCTAGGTTAGTGGCTCCAGGTTTCAAGCAGATTCATGGGGTCGACTACACAGAGACATTTATTCTGGTAGTTCACAAGAAAATGATCTGGACACTTCTAGCTATTGCTGTAAAGAGAGAGTGGGAAATGATACATATACCTGTAGATGTGATTGGGGCTTACCTGAATAGCAAACTTGAAAATCTGATCTATATGAAGCAACCCGCAGGTTTTGAGGAGAGGGGAGGCAGTTTTGTCTGTAAACTTCGAAAGAGCATCTGTGGCCTTAAGCAATCACGTAGGGACTGGAACAGTCATTTGCATCGAATGTTGGTAAATAAATTAAGTTTTAAACAGTGTGTGAAGGGCCCTTGTATATATGTAAAGAAATCAATTGTTTTAGCAGTGTATGTTGTCAATATGCTTTTAATTGGCAAGGGAGAGGTGTTGAAAGAAACTTGAGAGAAGCTGTCAGATAATTTAGATGTGAAAGATTTGGGTGAAGTTTCAAAATTTTTGCCCATAAATATCAGAAAAGGAGACAATGGCGAGTTAATCCTGGAGCAAGAAGAACATATTGACTGGCTGTTAGGTGAATTCAATATGGGAAACTGTAAAACGCTTAGTTCACCATTGGAAGTTGGATGTATTAACACCGATAGGGATACTGAGAAGAAATTTTGTCAAACTATTTACCATAAGGTTGTAGGATGCCTTTTATATTTAAGCTCTACTACAAGACCGGATATTGCAAACCCTGTCTGTATAGTTAGCCAGCACTGCGAAGATNATCACTTTATGATTTGCTACCTTCAACGTCACTCTCAGAATTGTCGGTACAGGATTCTGTATCGGAGGCATTGATTAGCTGCAATATGTCAGAATATCCCAAACGACACGGACCACATGTTACGAACGAAATTTGAAATTACACTCGACTGAACACGTCCAGCCACTAAGCTATTTGCTGTGTGTTAGTACGGCAACGACAACGCATGCATAAAGAATGCTAGCATGGAACTGTAGAAGAACAGTATACGTATTGTTCAGGAGAGATCTATAAACAACACGTAAGTTTATATCTCTCTTCCACTGACCACATTCCAGTTGAAGTTCTTCACATAGACTGCGATAACGTCTCTAGACTCAACATCCGGTGTTACCGTGACATGCACAAGTGTCGTCATCAGCAACTTCCATTCAGGGGTGTCCAGAACGTATGAATTCTTGCTCAGAAACAAGAAATTGCGAAAATTCTATTTTGGTGTCAGTGCAAAAATTTTAACATGTTATATACAATCTGTAAATTAAAATATCTGATTCTATATTCTTTCGAGAAAAAAACAGCGTTTATTTCGATCGATTATCACAGAAATAGCAGAAATAGGAGCAAAATTAGTAAGAGACTACAATTTTCACGAATCTCAAATAGCGGCCATTTAAAGAACTCCGTACCGTTGCCACAACCTAAGTTTAAAGGGCCGTAGGATAAAGGTTAAAGAAGACCAAAAGTTATGGATTGCAGTTTTGTAAAACAAACAAAGAGACTGCTGTGTTTACAGATTCTGATTGGGCTGCTGATAAGATGGACAACATTTCTATCTCAGGATATTGTTTTATACTAGCAGGAGGAGTCATATGTTGGCGTAGTAAGAAGCAAAGCCAAGTTACCCCTTCTGCACATTCTGAGTACATGGCAGTGTATGAGTGTGTCTCGGAGTTCGAATGGCTTAGGGACTTTCTGCGTGAGGTAGGACAGGACAATCTTATGGGCAAACCATGTGCCATATATGCAGACAATGCGCCAGCTATATGCATTGCCAGTTCTCAAAATACATCAGATAAGACTAAGAATATAAGTATTAAGGACCAATACTAGTCAAAGCTGGTGAGATCACATTAGTATATGTTGAGTCATGTAAAAACATTGCTGATGTTTTTACAAAGACACTTTCTGGTCCCAAGACAAAGGAATTTGCCAGATTATTAGTTTTATATTAACTGAACCTTAAGATTGCATTAATTTAAGATAAGTGAACTTTGTTTATGACTTTTGATTTTCTCTTAGAACTTTAAGTTTTGTGTTTTGTGATTGAACAATAGGTGTGTTCAGGTTAAGTGGTTATATACAGTTGAAATTACTTTGAACTCTATAATTTTGAGGAGAGGTGTTAACAGGATGAAATTTAGATTCAGATTGTGTTATATTGGTATGATTGATTGGATGTAAGTAGTGCTGCGCTCTACGAGTCGGCGTACTATAGTGAAATAAACAGTCATGTAGTAGCCATGTAGTGTCTTTGTTTACCTGATACCACTTCATACAAAGACAAAGAAACAAAGTTTTACAACATAATAAATTAACATCAAGTCTATACTGTTGCCCACTCCCACCGTAAAGTGATGTTGCAGGGACAGTACACAGAACATGAACAAAAGGAAGATGGCATTTACCTTCCTTTTGTGGCTGTGAAAATATCAGCATATCTTGTTCTTTTCTTTCCATAAATTTTATGAAGATGTCACATTCTTCATGATTATGTGCAGTGATATGATGGGATACCCAAAAGAAACCGAACTAATTTTTTGTGGGCAGAGCTTTTGTAGTACCGCGTTTGCTGCTATGAGCACATAGAGCTAACATTCCTGAGTCGATAAACCAACTACCATTGCTTGAGAAGGTAAGGACTAGTTTCGGCAGAGTTTATAGTGACAAATGTTTTGTGTGATCATCGTTTTTGCAATGGCTGATTTTCGTGAACAGTGTGCGGCGGTGAAATTCTGCTTTTTGCTCGGGAAAAGTGGAACAGAAACTCTTGAAACGTTAAAAACGGTGTACAAGGACGATGCTATGGGGAAAACTCAAGTGGGTTTTCCCGTTTCAAAAATGGTGAATTGTCAGTTGATGACAAACCTCGTTCTGGTCATCCTTCCACGGCCCGAACATATGAAAATGTTGAAAAAATTCGTGAAATCATCAAGGAAGATCGACGACGGACCATTGAAGAAATTTTAGAGCTGTCGGGAGTGACTTGGAGCTCAGTTCAGCGAATGTTTCCATCATGACAATGCCCCTGCTCACACAGCCCTGTCTGTAGGACAATTCTTGACCAAAAATGGTATGACCCCTGTTCCTCACCCTCCATACTCACCCGACCTTGCCCCGTGCCACTTTTTTTTGTTTCCTCCAATGAAAAGAGACATAAAAGGAAAGCATTCTGCTGATGTTGCTGAGGTGAAGGAAAAAACGACGGAGGCGCTGTCAAGCATCTCAAAAGATGAATTTAGACAATGTTTTGAAAAATGGAATAAAAGACTAGACAAGTGTATTAGTGTAAGTGGAGAGTACTTTGAAGGGGATTGAAGGTTTGTGCTTAAAATTTGAATAAACAAGTTTAAAAAAAAAATAAGTTCGGTTTCTTTTGGGTACCCCCTCGTACATCTGATGAAACATTCTATGTGATATCCAGTAGCAACATCCTTTCCTGGACATAACTGTCCTATCTCTGCTGTAACATCAGGGGAATCTATATCACTCACTTTGGTACCCATATCTTCTCTATCTGTTAACAACAATTATATCTTAAGCTCTGAGGTGTTGATGGACATGGTCATCATCGACATTGCACCCATCAAAACTGTGATGAGTCACTTCTATGTAAGAAGACAGAACATTCCTCCCCTAGGACTGCATATGCAACCACCTAAGATATGAGGTTTCCAATGTGGTGAAGATTCATATTGGATATGCTGAGTGGCAGACAAATTTATGTTTCAGTCTTCAAGGTATTTTCTACTAAAGAGGACCAATTTGTGGAGAACTGTAATCTCAGAGTTGGGAAGACCTGAATCTTAATTTCTCATGTAATGACGTTGCTTGGAACACAGCTGAAGGTACAGTATCTCACACATAATCTAAACAAGAGTGTGTGTTCTCAGTGTCCATTACAGTTTTCACTCCAAAATGAAATCTGGTCAATTATCTCAGAAAGACAAGCTGTATGAAAAACATGTACATAATCAATAATATTAAGTGCCATTAGGATTTGAAAAATACAGTACAAAAGTTTTCTGATGTGCTGAAGTATGTTGTTTTAGTTATGTAATGTAGTAAATTTTATCTCAGCATAATAAGCTTCAGTAAGAGCCATTCACATAAAAATTTAATCAAAGTTACATTCGAATACAGCAGATAGGCAACTTAACCAATCAGATGTGTAGGTGGATGCTGTATGCCCATTAAGTGTTTTTACAAATTTATGTATAGAAAGTTTAAAAACAAATTTGTTACCAGAAGCTGTTTGCACTGTGAACAGTTCTTTTTTTGTGCCCAGAGATTTTTAATGATCATTGCCCCTAACTCTCCACAGATCATCTCTTAGAAACTGCTGCTACAAATGGTGCTGCTGTTTGTGGAACCTGAATCAACTTTCACGATCAAAACACAACGTGTATTCATGGACCACAAACACACTGTAAACAAAGTGAGTTTCCACACATCAGAACAAACTTGGCTCGTTTCTGGTTCTCAGGATGGGACCAAAAAATGTCTTGATCTTTGGACAAGAGAAGCAACTTATACATTTTACAGGAAATGTTTAAGGAATGGTTTAAATGCCCATCTCGGCCATGCCATAGCTCAAGCAGTTAGTTGCTGGCTTCCTATGTCTTGTCAAGTGGGATTTGTGGTGGACAAAGTGGCGCTGGGGCGGGTTTTCTCGGTTTGGTTTCCCCTGCCAATCTTCATTCCACAAAATTCTCCATCATCATAATCACCTGGGGCAGGCTACAGTAGGCCAATCAGTGGCCGCCATGTGGAGTGGACCCAGTTGGACTCCAGTCCCCACTAAGCGAATTAAAAAAATGCCCATTTCAGCAAGCGTGAAGTTCATAAACTCATTTATACAAATAATTAGTCTTCATATTTGTATTCCTCATTAATACAGCCATACACAGTAGGTGTTAACAAAACATCTCTGATATTTTTTTCTTGTTGCTGCTTCATGTAAGACAAAACAAGAACATAAGGAGACAATTTGGTACATGCTGTGTTGTTGCTAAGCCAATGGCACTGTATTTTTAAACAGTTAATGATGCTGTTCTCATTATTACATTTCAGTAACACTGAAAGTGTCTGTGATGTTCAGTCAGTGTGCATCTCTGTTGTGTGTTTGCTGTTGTTTCAGAAAATGGCAATGTTCAACTGTGGGACCTCAGGCACTCTGCTGTTATCATCAGTTTACTGCCCACAGTGGACCAGTGTTTGCCTGTGACTGGCATCCAGAAGTCTCCTGGTTAGCCACTGCTAGTCGAGATAAAACAATTAAGGTGGAATAAAATAATTATTATAATTTAATCTGAAATATGTGACCAAATATTTGATTAAAATGATTATATTAATTACTGATTAGGTTTGGGGTGCAAAGGGGAGTGATGCGAACAATAGCCTCTCACTTCCAAAAGCCAACCTCACATTCAAGTGGTGCACCCTGTTAACACAGACCAGGAAATGGCAGCCGAGTATTGGTGGAATAAACAAATCAACTTTATAAGCAAGGAGGAAATGTTCTTGCTTACGCCATACAGAAACTACATGGCTGACAACGTTGTTGGAGCCAGTGTCAGGTCCTTAGGTGACAGCCCCACCAGTACACTCAGAGTCAGTGGGCTAATAACCCACTACTCTTAAATGCATTCTATTAAAGAAACATTGACAAGGAAAAGCCAAACTGCACGAGCAGAAATGACCTTTGGCCTAAAATATAGAACAAGAATAGTTTGCGGAATGTCAGAACATTAGCCCAGAGTGGAAAATTAAAACAAGTCTGTTGAGATATGGAAACATAAATTAGACATTCTAGGCATCAGTGAAGTTAAATGGGACAGTTTTGGAGAAATAACAAAGTTAACAACTTCCCTTCATTCCAAATGTTATCGGCATGCTGATTCATCTGCAAAATTTGCGTGCACTCCACGGTCGGCCATACACCGGTTACAGTGAAACATGGAGCCCTGAACATGTCAAGTTCATTATAAACCTCCCAGTTGTTATGTTTGGCTTAGTACTCCAGAAATGTGCTTGCCCTCTCACCACATATGAGTTAATGAAGATTGCTGACTTGTACAGTTTTATCCTCAGCCTGCATATGAGGAGCGTTCTGTATATATTGCCTCCCATTATTTTTTTATTGAAAACTGCAACAGATACAGAAAACATAATAACACAGTTAAATAGAGCAAGATTTCTGCTACTTAATAATTTTTCCACATAATCACAGCCATTCATTGTGCACTTTTGCCAGTGATGAACAAGAGCCTGTATGCCATGCCTGTAAAAGTCTGCACCAGCACAGGCTAGCCACTTTCTTACAGCTGCAATGACGGCATCATTGTCTGGAAAATGTTGCCCACATAGTCCATCTTTCATAGGCCCAAAGAGATGGAAGTCTGAAGGTGCTAAATCGGGACTATAAGGTGGATGTGGTAGGACAGTCCAGCCAAACTTTGGAATATGCGCGGTGGTCGCAAACTGGTATGGGGTCTAGTGTTATCGTGTTGCAAGCGAAAGGTCTGCTTCTCTGGCCTGACTCGGGGAAAATGCCGGCTTCAAGCTTAGTCAGCATCGTCTTTTAGCGTTCAGAATTGACAGTCTCACCAGGCTCCAGGAAATCTAACAAAATCACATCCCCCTTATCCCAAAAGACCATGCAAATCACTTTTCCTGCTGATGGCTGTATCTTGAACTTCTTTTTCCTTGGGAAATCCGGATGTTGCCATTCCATGGACTGTCTTTTGGATTCCAGCTCATAGTGGTGACACCACGTCTCATCTCTGGTGACGATGCTGTCCAGAAACTTGTCACCTTCAGCCTCAAACTGGCACAACAGGTCCTGACAGACTTCCATTCAATGAGTTTTGTGGTCCTGTGTAAGCATCCGCGGGACCCACCTGGAACAAACTTTGCGATAATCCAGCTTCCCCAACATCGTTTCCAATGCATTACAGTCTATATTAAGCTGTGCACAGTTGCCTGGTCGTTTTCTGCCGATCTGTATGGATGAGCTTATCGAGGTGCTGTTCATTAGGAGTGGCAGCTGAGCAGGGACGCCCAGGGCACGGTTTGTCATGCACTTCACTTTTGCCACTGTTGAAATGCACTACCCACTGCCTTGCTGTGCTGACATCCACTGTATCGTCTCCATACACCTTTAGCAAGTGTCGATGGATGTCAGTGGGTGCAATTTGTTCGGCAGTGAGAAATTCAGTAACACATCTATGTCAGACACCATTTTGGTAGACTGCTCTGCGGTCCCTATCTGTCACACGACATGCAAACTTAACAGAACATTGGCGGGAAGGTTCAACCTTTACTACAACACCACCAACATCCAGCTCAGACGTTACAGATTAACACAAAAAAATAGGAGGCTTTATATATGGAGCGCCCTTCTTATATTAAATATTTAATGAGAATGATTTATTGCCATGTGTAGTGTGCAGAAACAGATAAAGAGTATATTTTGGCACCCTTATCCTAAGCCCAAAATATACTGCAAGGGTACAGTCAAATGGAATTTGTAAAGTTGCTGACGCTCTGGCCTTAATACACAAAAGAAGGGTAGTCTTCATTCAGAATTAGTAAATTTTATATTTTTCTTTTAGTGCACTTCTTACCAGCGCAAGAGATGAAATACTTAGATTTCAGAATGAACTCAGAGTAGATGAACTGCATAATGGAATATGAGAGTGAATCACATTCCCAGAGAGAGCATGTGAAGGGAGAAATCATGAGTTCCTTGTAGAAAGATTTACATGTCCAGAGAGGAGGAGGCAAAAGATGCTGTTCCAAAGGATGCTGCCATGATAAAGGTGAGACTTGCCTACACACAATGAACATGCCTTTCACTCTCATGTCATCAGAAGCTCAGATCTGTGGGCTTTACAGTAAAGCTAAGCACTAGACTGCCCTGTCCAGTTCACATCCTTGTACTCCATATGATTGAGATATATGTTAATTTTTTTTCATGTGACATTATACTAGGAATAATAATTCTAAGCACATGTAGCTAAATGCCATAATACCATGTGTCAGGTGCAAGGATTTTATTTTGTAATTTTATAAAATTGGATCCAGACAGAACAGAATGGTTCAAACTTAGCCAAGCATGGAATCCCAGCACCAGATTTTTATGGCACTTGAAAACACATACATCACAAAAATCCCAAGAAGCCAGAGTGGAACATGCAAGAAGGAATATGGAATATCTGACAAGAGAGACACCAAGTTAACACTTTGCGGACTGGCGATTTAAATATTTAAATCACCCTGGGGACCGGCATTTTTAAACATACTACCCTAACTTGTGCACTCTTCACTTTAAAAATTAATATAAAATCTCCTAATTAATTTTTTGAACTAAAATTTTTGGAGAACACTTACCAATGCCCCTAGAAGTGCTTGAGGGTGTGATATTTCTGGAAACATTCCCCTTTGTGAAGTGGCATTACAGAGAACTTGCAAATGTATAGATACTCCTTTTTTTTTGTGAACGTGCAAACATGGCATTGCCTAGAAGGATTCTTCCCCTTGGAATGTTCACTCTTCACAATTTTCACGAGGGTATTTTTAGGCATATCACTCGAGAGTCGCCCTGGGGGGTCCACATGAGGCCTTCATGGGGTGGGAGTTGAAGGGCATGGTCGTACTAAGTCTTTGTGTGGCCCTGGTTCTGCAACCACGATCTGGACTGTAGCCCAGGCCTTTGCCACATTCATCAGAAATGCTTTGTATTTCAATTTTGAATCAGGGTTTAGATTTTTTTTAGATTTTTTGCTGTCCCTGCAATTTTACTACGCGCAAAGTTATTATACCCATTATCGTCGGAGCTACTGTCACTTTTACTGTCTGTGGCCACAATTATTTGTTGTCCCCCGCCACTGTCGCTGTCTGAATGACAGTCCATTACTACGCGTCTCACAAAGCAGGTCAGCTAGGTCATCAGAGGAGAATTTGTCCTTGATCCATTCTCCCCACTAGCTACTGGTTGACACACACAGCTTTAAGAAGGCAAAGCATTGTCCTTTATAGTTGGTTAAGTAAACAGCGAGGGCNTTTTTTCGTTCACCTCAGCAACATCAGCAAAACACTTTCCTTTCATGTCTCTTTTCATTTGAGGAAACAAAAAAAAGTCGCATGGGCCAAGGTCGGGTGAGTATGAAGGGTGAGGAACAGGGGTCATACCATTTTTGGTCAAAAATTATCGTGTGAGCAGGGGCATTGTCATGATGGAAAAACTGAACTGAACTGAGCTCCAAGTCACTTCCGACAGCTCCACAATTTCTTCAATGGTCCGTCGTCGATCTTTCTTGATGATTTCACGAATTTTTTCAACATTTTCATGTGTTCGGGCCATGGAAGGACGACCAGAACAAGGTTTGTCATCAATTGACATTTCATCATTTTTGAAACAGGAAAACCACTCAGACACTTGAGTTTTCCCCATAGCATCGTCCTTGTTTTTAACATCAAGAGTTTCTGTTCCACTTTTCCCGAGCAAAAAGCAGAATTTCACTGCCGCACGTTGTTCACGAAAATCAGCCATTGCAAAAACGACAATCACACAAAACAGTTGTCACTATAACCGAAACTAGTCCTTACCTTCTGAAGCAACTGTAGTCGGCTTATCGACTCAGGAATGTTAGCTTTATGTGCTCATAGCGGCAAAACGTGGTACTACAAAAGCTCTGCCCACAAAAAAATTAGTTCGGTTTCTTTTGGGTACCCCATCGTATATATAGTGTGTTGCAACTTATCGTGTTCTAAAAACCTGTTAACACGCGAATGGTCTGCCATGTTTAAAAGCGAAAAACTTTTTAAAGGGTGCATGGTCCGCAAAGTGTTAAGCAAGATGTAGATAGGTTAAAATTGGGTGGTTGATCACACAGTTTGAGTCTGCCCACCTTCTGCGTAGTACACCAATAGGAAGGGGCATCAATTTGACAGACTGGTATAAATATCAGTTGCCAGCGACGTATGGCCATTCATTTCGTCACTCTAATGATGGAGACTGAGGAAGTATCTGAAATGTTGTTTTCTAGTTGAACATTGACATGACTGTTGCACAAAAAGATTTTAGCACACATTCCATTCTACTTGCTGCAGTGTTTAGGCAGCCCATACACTCATTTCTATTACAATTTGTGCTCTTATGTGGGAACTCTTATCATGTGCTGTTTCCTTGGGAATTCATGAGGAACTCACATTTGACAGGGGAAGTCTTTGTAGATTCTAGAGTTATCTGTTTCTCTTAAATCTGCTAAGTTCTTCTTTCAGCAGCAGTGATATTTCCTGTCTCCATGCTTTTGTCCCACGGCTTCACGTGCAATTTCCAACTTATTTGTCCCTGCAGGGAGCAAAAAAAGAACATTGAGTAGACCCTTCTCACTGCCCCAGTTGTGGAGCCTAGAGCATCAGTCATGTGCACTCACAGTTTTCTGTTCAGGACCCAGAAGGCATGGGTACTGTGTATGTCTTATCACTCTGTGTTTGGCTGTATCGTTCTGATACATTACCACTTACAGTATCAGCAACCACAAGTCCCCAGAAGCCATGTAGACCTGCACACGTTTTCACATCATACTGTGGACGGCCGTGCAAGGGACTTAAAAGTTTGCAGCTCACCAGTGCTGAACAGCTTGCCATTAGCCTTCTGCTTGTTGCCAAGATTTTGGAGGAATGAACTGCACCCACCTTCAAGGAAGAGTAAGCCAAGCAGGTAGCTAGCATGAAGAATGTGCCAAGCAGAGCACCTTTGAGGGCACCCATTGAGCTGTGCCTTGCAGATGTTCTGCTGTTGTTGGGGCCAGTGTCAGGTCCTTAGGTGGCAGCCCCACCAGTACACTCGGAGTCAGTGGGCTAATAACTCACTGCTCTTAAATGTGTATTATTAAAGAAACACTGACAAGGAAAAGCCAAACTGCATGAGGAAAAATTACCTTTGGCCTTAACTGTAGAACAAGAATTAGTTTGTGGACTCTTGATTCAGGTAGGAGGGACATATTGTATGATATTCTGAATGGAGTTTGGGATACCCGTAAAACTAGTTAGGTTGATTAAAATTTCTTTAAACAAAACGTATAGTAAAGTCCATATAGGTAAACATTTGTGTGATAAATTTCCTATCCAGAATGGTCTAAAACAAGGAGATGCTTTATCGCCACTCCTTCTCAACTTTGCTTTAGAATATGCCATTGGGAAGGTCCAGGAAAACCAGGTTGGACTGAAATTAAAAGGGACACATCAGCTGTTGGCCTATGCCGATGATGTGAATCTGCCGGCTGATAATGTAGATACCATAAAAGAAAACACACAGACTTTAATTGATGCAAGTAAAGAGGTTGGTCTAGAAGTAAACACAGAAAAAACTAAGTATATATTACTGTCTCGTCACCAAAATGCAGGGCAAAATCATGACATAAAGATAGGAAACAGATGTTTTGAAGATGTGGCACAGTTCAGATATTTGGAAAAAACGATAACAGATTGAAACTTGATTCAGGAGGAAATTAAGCAGCGATTGAACTCTGGTAATGCTTGCTACCATTCAGTCCAGTCCAGAACCTTTTGTCTTTATAAAAATTAGAATATACAAAACTATAATTTTGCCTGTGGTTCTGTATGGGTGTGAAACTTGGTTTAAGGGAGGAACATAGACTGAGGGTGTTTGAGAACAGGGTGTTGAGGAGAATATTTGGACCGAGGAGAGATGAAGTGACAGGAGGTTGGAGAAAACTGCATAAGGAGGAGCTTCATAACTTGTACTCTTCTCCAAGTATATTAGAATGATCAAGTCAAGGAGGATGAGGTGGGCAGGTCATGTAGCACGAATTGGGGAGAAGAGGAATGCGTATAGGATATTGGTGGGAAAACCAGAAGGAAAGAGACCACTGGGAAGACCAAGATGTAGGTGGGTGGACAATATTAAAATAAATCTTAGAGAGATAGGATGGGATGGTATTGATTGGATTGATCTGGCTCAGGATATGGACCAGTGGAGGGCTCTTGTGAACATGGTAATGAACCCTAGGGTTCCATAAAATGCTGGGAAATTCTTGAGTAGCTGCAGAATTGGCGGCTCCTCCAGAAGGGCTCAGCTCCATGAGTAAGTACAGCTCTAGTGCTTAGAGCTGACAGTCCTCCGACGCGGAGTAGGAGAAGTATTGGTAGTGGTGGGGAGAACTCCAGCATGCCGACAAGTTTGGCTGGGAATGCAGTACAGGCGTTCTCAAAAGGAAATAACTCCGTACCTCATTGTGTTGCATAGTGATGGTGGGTTATTCTCATTGATGTTCGCACATCCGATGTTTTAAGTGCCGAATGGCAGACGGTTGTGCACTATACATTATTATACACTTTTCACTGTTATATATGTATATATGAAGAGTTTATTTACATATTACAAAGGTCTATTCTAAAGGGGCAACACTGGCAATGTCCTCATAGACATCATCTCTATATGCCAGTCCTTCCTCGTCACCAGCAGGTGAATCGTAGCTATCATGAGAACTGTCATCACTATCACCGCCAACATGGAAGACGAACTTCCGTCCTGCGTCCAAAAGGCCTTCCCATGCCATTAACTCTTTGACTGGCGCGGGCGTGTTTTAATGCCCGGGCGATGCCAGCCATTCCCTGGCGTTGGCATGTTTTAGCTCTTCGACAATCTCTTCCCTTCTTTGCTCTCTTGGCACTCATCAACCAAAGACATATATGTGGGGGTACCCAAAAGAAACCGAACTTATTTTTTTTTAAACTTATTTATTCAAATTTTAAGCACAAACCTTCAATCCCCTTCAAAGTACTCTCCACTTACACTAATACACTTGTCTAGTCTTTTATTCCATTTTTCAAAACATTGTCTGAATTATCTTTTGAGATGCTTGACAGCGCCTCCATCGTTTTTTCCTTTCGTGTCTTTTCATTCGAGGAAACAAAAAAAAAGTCGCACGGGGTGAAGTCGGGTGAGTATGGAGGGTGAGGAACATGGGTCATACCATTTTTGGTCAAGAATTGTTGTACAGACAGGGCTGTGTGAGCAGGGGCATTGTCATGATGGAAAAACCAGTCACCCGACTGCCACAAATCTGGCTGCTGAGCTCCAAGTCACTCCCGACAGCTCCACAATTTCTTCAATGGTCCGTCGTCGATCTTCCTTGATGTTTGAATTTTTTCAACATTTTCATGTGTTCGGGCCGTGGAAGGACGAGCAGAACAAGGTTTGTCATCAATTGACATTTCACCATTTTTTAAACAGGAAAACCGCTCAGACACTTAGTTTTCCCCATAGCATCGTCCTTGTACGCCGTTTTTAACATTTCAAGAGTTTCTGTTCCACTTTTCCCGAGCAAAAAGCAGAATGTCACCACCACACACTGTTCACGAAAATCAGCCATTGCATAAACGACAATCACACAAAACAGTTGTCACTATAAACTCTGCCGAAACTAGTCCTTACCTTCTGAAGCAACGGTAGTCGGCTTATCGACTCAGGAATGTTAGCTCTATGCGCTCATAGCGGCAAAACGCGGTACTACAAAAGCTCTGCCCACAAAAAAATTAGTTCGGTTTCTTTTGGGTACCCCATCGTAT